GGCGCCAGTCCCTAACACAGTACTCTATTTTTTAATACATATTATACAGAGAGGAGGAGAGAGACAAAGAGAAAAACCTATCTGCTGATTCACTCCCCAAGTGGCCACAACAGCTGAAGCTGCGCCGATCCAAAGCCAGGAGCCTAGAGCCTCTTCTGGGTCTCCCAAGTGGGTGCAAGGTCCCAAGCTTTGGGACGTCCTCAATTTCTTTCCCAGGCTACAAGCAGGGAGGGAGCTGGATGGGAAACAGGGCCGCCAGGATTAGACATAGAACCCATATGGGATCACAGCATACAAGGCGAGAACTTTAGCTGCTAGGCTACTGCACAGGGACCCACACTGCGCTTTAGAGATAGGACAAATAAATATCACACTTGACAAAATAATTGCATCTAATCTAATTAAGTGATTAGGTCAAAAGTGTTCAGAGATGCCTGGCACCATAGCTTAGTGGCTAAAGTCCTTTCCATGCATGCACTGGGACCCCATACGGGTACCAGTCCATGTCCTGGCCACCCTGCTTCGCATCCAGCTCCCTGCTTGTGGCCTGGGAAAGCAGTCGAGGACAGCCCAAGCTTTGGGACCCTGTGCCCACGTGGGAGACCCAGAAGAGGCTCCTGACTTCGGATTGGCTCAGCTCCAGCCGTTGCGGCTGCCTGGGGAGTGAATCATCAGATGGAAGATCTTCCTCTCTGTCTCTCCTCTCTGTATATCCGCCAATAAAAATAAAAATAAATTTTTTAAAAAAGATAAATATTTTTAAAATAAATATATCAAATTATGAAGATGTCCTATGAAAAGGTAAAAAATCATCTTATTGACAATGCACATACTGATTTTAAGGTGACTTTTTGTTTTGCTGTAGTAATATATGCATAACACAGCATTTACCATTTTAGCCATTTTTAAGTGTGCAGTTCAGTTACCCTGGGCACACTGACAAGGGTCCCCAGTGGTCACCACCCCATGTCCAAAACCCCTCCATCACCTCACAGAAGCTTCATAACTCAGCTGTAACCTGCTCCCCTCCTTCCAGGTAACTCTAGGAACCTCTGTGAAATCCATACTTACTTCTTTATCTATGTTAAAATGATGTTTGAATATACTACACTACATAAAGTTGCATTCAATTCGTATCTTTCTATACTTAAATTGATTCATTTTACTTGGAAAGTCAGAGTTACAAAAAGAGGAGAAAGAGAGAACTCTTTTGTCTGGGCCCAGCAGTGTGGCCTAGTGGCTAAAGTCCTCGCCTTGAATGCGCCAGGATCCCATATGGGCACCGGTTCTAATCCCGGCAGCCCCACTTCCCATCCAGCTCCCTGCTTGTGGCCTGGGAAAGCAGTCGAAATAGCCGAATGCTTTGAGACTGCTGGGGTCCGTGTGGTGGCTGTGGAAGACAGGAAGGTGTGTAGACTATTGTTCCATTGCAGGCAGAGCCACAAGGAGTTTCCCGCTGTATGGCAGGGCCCTGCGGATGTCTCTACAACCACCCAATGCAGCTCCACCTCCTTCTGCATGGACACCGGACAACCCCACTGAGAATTCTATAATCTATTTAGGCATTGTCTGCCTCTGCAGAGTTAATGTTTACTACCAATGTGAGCTTGGAAGTTGATGTTGCTGATACCATTTTAACCAAAGGGCCTTTTATTATTGCTGCCCCCACTGACCACATGCTGATCAAGGGTGCTAAATCCCCAGGTGCAGTGGGAATCTATTCTTTCCCTCTTTCCTTGATCTTTAGGTCCTTCCTTCTGTGATGCATTTTCTCCCTTAACTGATTCAAGATTAAGTTGTAGAATGAGGACTGTAGCAGGAACGTGTTACTGATTGAGATGCACCATCTACTGAGAACTTCCTGACCACAGGGTCGGGATGGATAACATCCTGCTTTAAGGTGAACAAAGGGCAGAATTAGCCTTAGAAACAACCACTTGACCATGACATAGTAAGTCTGAGTCAGAGTTTGGCTGCTTCTGTATAAATAAAGCAGACAGCTTTCCCGCACTGTCCATCATGATCATGAAATCACGGTGGTCCACTTATTTCCTCTTCACGCCTCATCCACACACCCTTCTCGAGTTCCGAACTCAGCTGGACGCTGGACTCCGGCTCCTGGCTCCTGGCTCCTGCTTTGGGCTGCCTCAGTTCCAGCTGTTCCATTGATTCACTCCCCAAGTGGCCACAATAGTTGGAGTTGAGACAATCCGAAGCCAGGAGCCCAGAGCCTCTTCTGGGTCTTACATACGGGTGCAGGGTCCCAAGGCTTTGGGCCGTCCTCCACTGCTTTCCCAGGCCACAAGCGGGGAGCTGGATGGAAGTGGAGCTGCCAGGATTAGAACTGGCGCCCGTATGGGATCCCTGCATGTTCAAGGCGAGGACTTTAGCTGCTAGGCCACGCTGCTGGGCCTGACCCCGATTTTTTTTAAAGCAATAAAGCATATGACTTTCAATAAAATTATTTCAGAAGACACTAACCGTAATACATAGCAAAGCACAACATTTCAGGCCCAGAGCAGTAGCCTAATGGTTAAAGTCCTCGATTGTATGGGCCAGAATTCCATGTGGGTACAGCTCATGGCTGCTCTACTTTCCTTCCAGCAACCTGTGTGCGGCCTGGGAAAGCAGAGGAAGATGGCCCAAGGCCTTGGGACACATTGCCTGCATGGGAGAGCCCAGATAGAAGCTCCTGGCTCCTGGCTTCAGATTGGTTCAGCTCCAGCCACTGCAGCCACTTGGCAAGCCAACCAGCAAACACAAGACCTTTCTATCTCTCCTACTCTCTGTAAATCTGATCATCCAATAGAAATAAATAATCCTAAAAAGAAAAAGGCAACAATTCTTTTTTTTCCCCCCCATGTTTATTTATTTTATTTGAAATGCCTGCGACAGACAGGGCTAGGGCAGATTAAAGCCAGAAGCCAAAACTCAATCAAGTTCCTATGTGGGTGGCAGGGAGCCAATCACTTGAGTCACCACCCACTGCCTCCCAGGGAGCTGGAGGCAGCAACACAACAGGATTCAAACCCTGCTATTCTGGGGGCCCAATGTGGTAGCCTAGTGACTAAATCCTCACTTTGCATGGGCCAGGATCCCTTATGGGTACCTGTTTGTGTCCCAGCAGCCCCGCTTCCCATCCAGCTCCCTGCTGGCTGGCTTCCCATCCAGCTCCCTGCTGGCGGTCTAGGAAAGCATTCGAGGACGGCCCAAGACCTTGGACCCTGCACCTATGTGGGAGACCTAGAGGAAGCTCCTAGCTCCTGGCTTCAGATCAGCTCAGTTCCGAATGTTGCAGTCGCTTGACAAGTGAATCGTCAGATGTAAGATCTTCCTCTGTCTCCCCTCCTCTCTGTATATCTGCCTTTCTAATAAAAATATATAAATCCTAAAAAATTTTTTTTTTCTTAGCATCACTAGGGCACTATAAATTAACACCAAGGATAAACCATTTTCAAGACAACAGAACAAAAAAAAGACTGACGTCATAAATTGGGAAGCATGGACATGTTTAGGCACTGCCACGCAGAGGCCAGCAGAAGGCTCTTTTCTGCTGTGTCGCGCTTAACAGTGAAACACTGGAGACCATCTCTGGCTTCTCACACACTGTGCAGTGATGACACGGTACGGGGCCCGTCCCAGGAGTCACAAGTCATAAAAATGCAGATTTTGTACCAAAAAAAAAAAGAAAGTCCAAATTTTGTATGAATGTTTTGAAGTGTCCTCAGAGTATGTACTCTACCTACTGAAAGAATTGCAAGACCCATTTTTATGCATAAAATATCAAGCTGCAGAATAGTACAGTATTCCATGTTTGCAAAAAACACGTATTTGTAAAAGCTTAACATAAAACCTTAGCAACACGTATCCTACCTGTGCACAGCTCTGTCCACGAAACAGGAATGGAGAAATACACTCCACATTAATAACAGTGCTTGCTTTGGGGAAACAGAATTAGTAAAGATGATAGAGACGGAAGAAAATACCGATCAAAAAGAATCTTGTTTCAAAATTTCATATGAATTTTTTTGAACAAGACTGAACAGACCATGTCTAAAACAAACACAAAAAGTGAATGTGTATCTGACAGAAGCTCCAGTGGGCCGCAGGCAGCCACTCTTCCCCTAACTGCATCTCCTGCCTCCCGCACGTCCTAATTTGGGTTATCAACAAAATCTTTCGGTGAGCAAATGGAAGATCTTTCTCTCCATCTCTCCTTCCCTCTGTTAAAAAAGTCTGACTTTCCAATAAAACATAGTAATAATAATCTTCAAAAAAATCTTTCGGTGCAATTTTTTCTCTCCTTGCAATACAACTAAGAAAGTACAACCAATTCTAATTTGGCGTTGTCAAGGAGTGGGCAGATAAGGGAGTTTTTGGCTTTATTTTTTGTTGTTCTTGCTGCGTGTGTGTGTGTGTGTGTGTGTGTTAGTTCAACGAGGTATAAAAGCCGTGTGGTTGTATTTTAATGAACAGGTGCCCGGGTTGTAATAAGAAATTGAAGTCGTTATTTTGACCTATCTCGGGGATGTGAAAAGAGGCAAGCCGTGGCTCCCGTCAGGGCCCAGAATAGCAGCAGGTGTGGGCTGCGCGGGAGAGGCGGCCTCGGGGCGGCGCGGCCCCACGCGCGCCGGGGACCGAGCGCCGGCTGCCGGGCCGAGGAGTCGCCCGGTGCCGCGGGCGGGGCCTCCAACCCATCCCGACGGGTCAGGACACCCCGAGAGTCCACGGGCTGCTGCCAAACGCCCGGGGACGGACGTGGGTGCCCGGGATCGCGCACCTGGGCACTCAGCCACCCCTTCCCGGGTGAAGCTGCCGAGGAGAGGGGAGAAGGGGAGAGGGACGGGACCCCCCGGCTCCGAGTTCAGGGGGCTCTCTCTCCTCAGACAGGAGCCCCCGCACGCCCTAGCATCCTTCCCTCCACGACCCCTCGCGATCCGCGCCCTCCTCCCCGCGCACAATCCGCAGGGCCGGAGAGCCAGCCCCCGCGCGGCGCTTACCTGCGGCCTCGCTCCCGGCGCCAACACCTGCGGTACCTCACGCTTCAAGAGCTGGAACCTCCGTGACTGCCTGCGCGCACCCACCCGGATCCGCTTGGTCCGCAACCACTTCCGGCCCCGTGGCCGGACCGACGGATGTCGCCCGAGGGACGCGTGAGAACGGGGGGAGCCATCTTGTACGGAAGCTGCTGGAGCAATAGTTGTCATTCCAGTTTATCGTCTGTGGAACAATGGATGTGTTTAGCTTGGGCAGGCTTCTTAAGAGTGCTGCTTTTTTTCTGAGGTGATATTTTGTATTTTATGTTTTGGTTTGGAAATAGCAGCCTCTAGAACACGAGAGAAATGCAGTGTGAGACATCTGATTTTCATGATCCTGGTGGTGTTTTTGCCCTACGTTCATTTTCATGACTGTTAAATGGCCGTAAGTAGGGGAGAGACACTATCTAAGCAATGTAAGACTCATTAGCTGTGCGTGTTAGCCCCTAGTCGGTGTGATAAATTAAGCCCTCTTTGTAACAATAACCACAATACTTTCCTTTTTATATTAAGAACTTCATTCAGTGGGCCTTTATGAACAACTATTATATGTGAGGCGACTGGTGTATGCCGTATAGTGTTCCTTTGTTGTGCAGTGTGTGAAACAGAAGAAATGACATCTGCATAAATAACCAATATAAAACATACCAGCTGACACTGGATGCTCGCAAAGTGGTAGGAACTTTGCAAAGCACTTTAGCTCATTAGTAAACAAGAACCTGATTGCGCCTCTCATCAATTACACTAACTCCATTTCAGAGGAAAGAGGTCTAAGTACCCTTAGGGGGAAATTTTCAGAAAATACATAGAATTAACCCCTTGCATTTGGGGGTTACACCTCCTTGAAAAACCAGCAAACAATAAAGAGGAAATGCAATTTAAAACCACGAGCAGATATGAGCCTAAATAAGAGACCATAATAAGTTGTGACCCCGCTTTATGAAAAAGTATTTATTGCAAAGGGTCTAATGCTGTGACGTGGAATGGGGATATTAGACCCAAATGTGTAAACCTTCAATGCCGCAGGAAGCTGAAAGGCCCAGAGGTCACAGTGGGCCTTCTGTATATAAATTTCCTCCCTTTAGTATATATATATATATTTTTTTTTATCAATAATGTCCTTCCTCATTAACAAAATTATTTTTATTCATTTGAAAGGAAAAAAGATCTCCCACATGCTGATTCATTCGCCAACTATCTAACAGTCAGGGTGGACTGGGCCAATGCCAGGAGTCTAGAACTCCTCATCTCCCACATGGCTGGCAGGTGTTCAAGTACTTAAATCATCATCTGTTGCCTCCCGGGGTAGACATGAGCAGGAAGCTGGATCAGAAGCGGAGTGGAGACTTGAACCCATGTCCTCTGATAGGGAATGTGGATGTCCGAAGTGGCTGCCAAATGCCCACCCCAACCCCACTTCCTGTTTCATAGTTAGGATTACTGGTGAGGTTTGGCTTTATAATTTGTCTTCAGGTTTCAGTATATTCAAGAAAAGACCTTGACTGGATGTGGGAAATAATTTGATCCTGTAGTTGGAATGCAATGGGACCCGGTGTGGTGCTTGTGGCTAAAGTCCTCGCCTTGAACGCGCCCGGGATCCCATATGGGCGCCAGTTCTAATACCAGAAGCTCTACTTCCCATCTAGCTCCCTGCTTGTGGCCTGGGAAAGCAGTTGACGATGACCCAAAGCCTTGGGACCCTGCACATGTGTGGGAGACCCAGAAGAGGCTCTGAGCTCCTGGCTTCCGATTGGCTCAGCTCTGGTCGTTGTGGCCGCTTGGAAAGTAAACACTTGGATAGAAGATCTTCCTTTCTGTCTCTCCTCCTCTCTGTGTATCTGACTTTACAATAAAAATAAATAAATCTAAAAAAAAAAGTTGGAATGCAATGACAAGCATGGTCAAGTCCCCCCTCTGCCTCTGTGCTTGGGTCCCTGCTGCCCATATGCCCCAGAACATTCGCCTTGTTGTGTCCTCGGCTTGGAATGCTCCTCCCCAGACACCCACAGGACGCCTCCTTCACCTTTGCAGCTCTTCACTCACATGTGAATGACACATTCCTCGGCGTCCCCAGTCAGTGCCGTGGTACTGATCAGCATCTAACATGTAGCTGACTTCTTCACCTGAATTTCTTTCTATGCCTCCCATTCCTTTAGAATAGAAGTTTCTTTTTCTTTTTTTTTTTTAAGATTTATTTTATTTTTATTGGAAAGTCAGATATACAGAGAGGAGGAGAGACAGAGAGGAAGATCTTCTGTCCAATGATTCACTCCCCAAGTGAGCGCAACAGCCGACGTTATGCCAATCCGAAGCCAGGAGCCTCTTCCGGGTCTCCCACGTGGGTGCAGGGTCCCAAGGTTTTTGGGTGTCCTCGACTGCTTTCCCGGGCCACAGGCAGGGAGCTGGAAGGGAAGTGGAGCTGCCAGGATTAGAACCGGCGCCCATATGGGATCCCAGGCGTGCAAGGCGAGTACCTTAACCACCGTGCCACCGCGCCAGGCCCAGAATAGAAGTTTCTTGAGGGCAAGGAATATTCCCTGTTTTGTTCACTGCTCTATCTTCAATGCATGCAGCAGTGTGGACGTGCCACAACTCTTTGTTGAGCGTAGCTGTTTAGCCTACTGGTTAAAATGGGCACACTTAACAATTTAGAAGGAAAGGGGCCTGGCGCAATAGCATAGTGGTTAAAGTCCTCGCCTTGCACACCCGGGATCCCATATGGTCGCTGGTTCTAATCCCAGCAGCCCCACTTCCCATCCAGCTTCCTGCTGTGGCCTGGGAAAGCAGTCCAGGATGGCCCAAGGCAGTGGGACCCTGAACCTACATGGGAGAACCAGAAGAGCTCCTGGCTCCTCGTTTCAGATCCTCGTTTCAGCATCACAGTGACTGGTTACAGTCCAGCTGCTTCCCTTCCAGTCTAGGAGTTCTAGGTTCCTGGCTTTGCCCTGGCTCAGCTTTCACCATTAAAGCCATGTGGATAGTAAACCGAAGCATGCTAGATCTTCCTCTCTGTAACTCTGCCTTTCAAATGAATATATGGACATGGACATGAAAACAAATTATGAATAGAACACGACCCCTGGGAAGGTAAAATGAGATAATTCAAAACACACGCAGAGGGGCCAGTGCCATGGCATAGTTGGCTGAGCTTCTACCTGCAGTGCTGTCATGCCATATCTGTGCATGGCACCAGCTGCTCCACTTCCCATCCACTCCCTGCATATGACCAGGGAAAGCAGCAGAGACTGGATTAAATCCGTGGGCCCCTGTAACATGTAGGAGACCTGGAAGAAGCTCCTGGTTTCAGATCTCAGCTCTAGCTATTGTGGATTTTCGTCTCTCCTGTCTATAAATCTGCCTTTCAAAAATTTTAATGGAGGAGATTAGGGCCCAGCGCCATAACATAGTGCCTAAAATCCTTACCTTGCATGCACCAGAATCCCATATGGGATCTAATCCTGGTGGCCCTGGTTCCCAGGCAGCTCCCTGCCTATGGCCTGGGAAAGCAGTGGAGGATGGCTCAGAGCCTTGGGACCCTGCACCTGTGTGGGAGACCCGGAAGAGGCTCCAGGTTCCTCTCTTCAGATTGACTCAGCTCTGGCCATTGTGACCACTTTAGGAATGAATCAGCGAATGGAAGATCTTCCTCTCTGTCTCTTCTCTACTCTCTGTATATCTGACTGTGCAATCAAGATAAATCTTAAAAGTGAAGGTGATTCTTGGATGATTCTTTTTTCTTGATACAATGATGTTTGAATGACAGTCCTGTGGAGAAGTTCAGCTGATGGCCTCTGAGGTCGTTGTGTCGTGGATAGGAGATCTAGGCTAAGGACACATGTTTAAGGAGTATGCTTAGTTGTTGGGGTCATACCCACAAAATTCTTGTACCTCACTCAGGTCCTTGAGGTGTTGTAGCTCCATTTCACCATGTTATGCCGCTCTGTACATGTGGAAATTGAACCGCAGTGATGATGTAATTGCACAGCTGATGAAGGATGGAGCCATCTTACCCAGGCCTCTCCAGTCGGCTGACTCTGCCTAAGCCTCATGTTCCTCTGCAATGGAGGGGGAGTGATACCCAGTCCCTTACACCACAGGCCCACGATGGCCTGAAATGGATGCATCCGGCCTATGCGGATGGTCCACTGGGGCACTGGAAGATGAGCTTGGCTTTCTATTTGCATTTCAAATCTAAAAAAAGAGAGAAAAGGAGATTCAACTTTGCTAATATTTAATAACAGATAGACACTGGTATGCTTATTTGGTCTGGATGCCAGCTAACTTTTTTTTTTTACTTACTTTCTTATTTATTTGAAAAGCAGAGAGAGAGCGAGAGAGATAGAGAGATCTTCCATCTACTGGTTCACTCCCTATATGCCTGTAGTAGCCAGGGTTGGGCCAGGCAGAAGCCTGGAGCTAGGAACTCCCTCTAGGTCTTTCCCATGGGTAGCAAGGAGCCAAGTGCTTGGGCTGTCATTCACTGCTTCCTCGATGCATAAGCAGGGCTATGGATCTGCAGCAGAGCAGGTGGGATTCCAGTTTGGCACTCAGATATGGGATGCACGGATCCCATGTAATAGCATAACCCACTGTGCTAAGATGCCAGCCCCCATTCTGATGCCTTGAAAAAATGTTTATTTATTCATTTGAAAGACTGTTACAAAGAGAAAGAGGGAGAAGAGAGCTGGGCAGATGTTTTTATCTGCTGGCTCACTCGCCAGTGGGTGGCAATGGCTGGGGCTTGGCTTGATCCAAGCTGGGAGGCAGGGATTTCTTCCAGGTTGCCCATGTGGGTGCAAAGGCCCAAGCATCTGAGCTATTTTCTACTGTTTTCCCAGGCTACTGTTTTCTGAACTGAATCAGAAATGGAGCAGCCAGGACTTGAACTGGCTGGTGCCCATATGGGATGCTGGCACCCCAGGCAGCAGTTTCAGCTGCTGTGCCATAGCCCCCCGTTGTGAGATCTGTGCAGAGACGTCATATTTCTACAGAGTAGACGGAACGATAATGGCACTCCTCCAGGGGGTGATATCAATGTGTTAATTTTTGGAGAAATGAGAGTAT